TAAAGTTATATCAAACCAGCCTATACAAATGAAGCTTTTGAGAGGATAGTTGCACATGGAAAACATGGAAACAGTCTACTATTATTATTCCTAATCCACAGAAAAAGAATCCAGACAGAATAATGAACTTGTCTACGGTAATACTGGCTCAATGATAGAGCTTGCCTGTCCCCAAGATACTAAAACTCCTACTTGTCTTGCCACACCAGGAGTTTAATACATGTTGGTAAACATAGCACATGGGAACCATTTAGCAGAGAATACTAACTAATGGGGAAGTAAGAAAAAAAAAAAAGGAGGCAAATATTGTCAGATTTCTGGGGACAAAATCTAGACTTCGAGGAATTGCCCTGTGAGATAAACATTTCATTCTTTGTTCTAATACATTTCTCAGATAACCAATTACAAGAATAGTAAATGTATTATATTGTCTTTTCTTAGTCACATTTTCTAGGTGAGACAAAACTTTCTAGAACTATCAAGGGAAAAAAACCAAAATGAAATATTATTATTATTTTAAAATATTAAAGCATTTAAGTTGTTGCAGACCGTTGTCAAGAATCATTTTCTGCAACTACAACTATTGATTCTATTTTTAAAGCAAAAAAAGAAAGAAATATTCTTTAAAAGCTCTGAAGTAGCTTTTGAAAACCTATAAGGGATTGAGAACTTTGATCAAGTAGCCAGAGAATATCATATCTTAAATATTATGCAGGAAGGAAGACAAAGAGGGAAAAAACAATTGCCAATTATCTTCTTGCTAACATTTTTAAGCAAAACCAAAAGATTAAGCAACTTGGTGTCAAACAAAAGATGAAGTATCACTCCTTGATAGTGATTAATAAATACTAAAAAACCTAAAGAATATTTTGAATAGCTACCATAAATATTTAAAACTTTGGCCACAAACTGGAGAATCTTTCATCTAATTGATGAGTATTTCTCTTCATATTGTATTAAAATGAACATTAAAATGTACATGTATACCATTCAGACTCTCCTAAAAACTGTACACAGAGTATTGTTTTGGAATTCCCACCGCAAAAGTAAGGGAAAGCAAAATGACAAGACAAAATAACTTGATATGGGTCACAGCGGACACAGGTCTACACAGAGTTTGGTAGCAATCCTTTTCTAGCATTGTCTTAAAAAAAAAAAAAAAAAAAAAAAACTGAAAACCCACCTCACACCTTCTGACAAATCCTATTCTATTATTTGTTTCTGAGTATTTTAAATGAGGAAGGGTTTTCATATCAGCTGATACTGCGCTACAGAAGAACAGCTCCCATTTAAGTGATGAGGACAGAAAGAAAATTTTGGTTTTAATTCAGGTGATCCTACAGAATACCTTCCTACTTCTGCCGGATAGCACCTGGGGAGTAGGAATACATATCGATGCTACATAAAAGTTAAAGGTTTATGTATTTCTGGAGGAGTGAGAAAGAAAGGACCAAAAAAAAATTTTAAGCCATCTACACACAATTAGCTTGCAAGCATTAGCACTAATGAAGCCTGCTTTCCACTGAATGCACACCCCATGACCAGACTCTTCGTGCCTGATACGATGCAGTTTTTCAGAACTCAGAACGCATTGCTGCTACTTGGATTTTCGGTGTCTAATAAGGTGTTCGTGAGTTATTTTTCTCTCAGGGTAACTTGATGTTTCTTCTCTATTCCGAGTCCAATTTTAATGAAGCTTGTAAGTGCTCCACCTTTGAAAGCACTGTTCCTCTGTCAAATTCCCTTCTCCTTGACTGATGGACACTAAAGTAAATTAGTAGAAAGGTGGACAGAAATACCAAGCATGGTAAATGTAAGCTGTGTGTCTTTCAAAATAAGCCTACACTAAAACACCACTACTAGTTTCTCATACAACATCATCCAAAGATTGTTAACTTGCTAAGAATCTTTTGTGAGCTAAAACTTGCTGATTTTGTATCTATAATTTAACAATAACAAACCTGCATTTTGTCACTTTCCAAAGAATCATACTTTATGCTCTGTGCTAAATTTTGACCCACACATTACAGATGGGTTATAAATTCCAGAAACAAGTTTGGAAGTAGCATCTGCTTGTTGAAGCCACTTTAGGAGGATACTGAGAGGAAATCATGCAAAAGGTTGTTTTGTTGAAGGGGTGCGGAGAAGTTAACACTGTGATGGCTAAAAACACTGAGGTTCAAGTATTATCAGGAAGAGTTCTGAAATTAAACTCCCTCTGGAGTACAAAATGAAACTTGAAGAATTAGAAAACAAATATACACAGAGGGAAAAAACAGTTGTGCTAATCACTTGTAACTGGCAGACACGGGTTTTAATATATTTCTATTTCTCTGATCCATAACAAATTATCTACTTCCAGTACTTGGCATCAGGTCTCTGTTTCTGATTCGGGTGAAGCAAGCTCCAAAATGTGTTGTCCCCTTGCCCCTCCGCACAAGGGACAATGCCGCTGACCCAGTCCATTCCCTTGGTTCCTGCAGGCCCTTACGCCACGGTTATGACAGACCCTGGTACCCCCTACAGCGCTGGGCTGATGAGATTGTACTTCTCTGGTTCATGCCCGGAATGTGCTGCCAGCAGTCGTCTGTGCAGTTACAGATTAAACGCTAAGGCTGTCAGCTTAAGATTTATCTTTTCCCACTGGCTTTTTCCTAAGCCATCTCAGTGATGTGGATCTCAACAAGCTTTACTCTTGCTTAATAATAGAGAAGTGTCTGAAGACTCTATTATAAATATACTGACTGATCAACTTTCATTAGTCATGTTACTTTCACACCGACAAGTTCAGTTTTAAGTGGCATCAAAGTAGTTCATAAAACAGAAGGCAGGGGACTTCAGCTTTTTGTTAAAATGTTTCATAACATTCACTAATTTGGAAGAATTATATTTTCCCTTTTAGGTTCAATGGGTGGAGGAAGTGAGGACCCCTCGCTGCTTCACACACATATTTTTATGACGATTTACTTGACAGAGGAGAGGCATGACAGCATAAACTTCTGCGAGGTTGGTATTTTCCAGAGATACATAATAAAATGTTAAAATATACTAAAAGCTTTTCAGCTTACCTCATGAACTCAAAAAATCTGCTGTCACTTAGATGTCTAGGCTTTCTAATCAGTTGCTGTTTAACATTTATCTAAACAATAGTTGACAATAAAAAGTAAGATTGGTCAAATGCATTTTAAAATCCTTCTTCATAATAAAAATTTCTACTAGACCTAGAGAGACACATGCACACCATTCAATCTCACTGGCAAAGTATCTCTTGAACATGGTTGACAGAGATGCATGGATAATTAGCAGGTCTTTCGGATTCAGCAATTTTTTGCTACTTCATTTTCTTGTTGGAATATTAAAGATCATATATTTAGATAAGACTTTGAAATTTTAACCTTTAGGTTATCATTGATCACATTAAAACAACAATAAACAGTTCTGTCTTTGGGACAGTCCAAAGCCAACATGAGAGCAATTATTTTTGTTTTTACTATAAGAAAGCTTTCTAAGGCAAATTTGCTGTCTTGGTATGCATAAATGAATTGTGTCTAGATTTGGTGTGTATGACATTATTCTTCCAAAACAAAGGGCTATTTCGCAGAAACTAGTAGAAGAAAAGTCTTGTTCAGGTCTTGGCCTGAGTTGTTGTGTGGTTATGGCAGAGTCTGGACTGACTCATCTTGCCGATGAGCTTATACAGCCAACTTGTATTTTCTCCTCTCTCTTCTTAAGATCCACGTTTTTCTAGGATGTGTTCCTTCCAACAAAGCAAGAAGGTAAAGACAAGATCTTAAGATATCAGGCACTTCACTATGAATTAATAACACATTCCACTTCCATAATTTATTTAGCTTTTTCCTCCTGATTACAAACTTTTCCAATCTGGCTCTGTTCATACCATGTAATAGGATTCCACCTTTAACTTGAGGGAATATTCCCATAATCTGGTATAAGAGAGATTCATTCTTTGCTAGAGGATATGAAAAAAGTCCCTTCAAGCATTATATTTTTATTATTCAATTATTTATAAATTAACAGTCAACTCTCAGTCATCATTATACTGAACTTGCATATTTTCTTTTCTGGTTTCCCTTACCAAAAAAAAAATAATTATCAAAGCAACTAGACTCTGACTTTCTGCTGCTCTTGTATGGTTTCAAACTTTTTTTTACCCATAATTATCTCATCTTAAGAAAACTCTGAAAAAGTTTGGCTTTCAAATATGAAAACGTTATATAGCAAGGAATAACTTCATTCTTGCATTATGGCAGAATGACATAGCCCGCAGAATCTATTTCAATGGTGGGTTCTCTCCTACCACAGCACACAGGTATTCAGGGCTGAATTCATTGATGTCTATCATCTTTAGGAAGATACAGTGAGACAATTTCACAATTAGTATCTTCAGATTACTCCTCTCCTAACATCTGGTTTATATTTTGTAACACCACCACCCAAAATTTCTTTACACAGCCAGACTTTTTTCAAACAAATCCATTACACTAACTAGCAATTTTTCAAACAAGTTTTCGTATCCACATTTCTAATCCATTTTTGGGAGTAGTTCCTAAATGGTTACAAATATCCTCATAAATTACAGGACTCTAAACCCTCTCTAATTCAATCCCAATGCCACTCTTCTGAAGTAACAGTTAATAGCATAAGTTAGCGATACTTTGAAATGGTAAGTGGAAGATAGGAAGGGCAAAGCTGTATTCTAACTTACTTATGGTAATTATTTCCTTTACCTGAATGAACATCTGTGATCATTAGTTTTAGATTATCATTTCTTACATGCAAATTCACTCTAATCTCTTAAAGCCACTTTGAAATTTCATGTCATTAAGTTTAGGTCCCACCTTCCAGTTCCAAACGTATACTCGAGCACAACAAAGCACCTATTAAAGAAACACTTGGCAACATAACAATCACAGCAGATGGGCAAGGTGCAAAGAGGCACAGGGGTTGAGTTTAGTAGGTCAAAACCAAAAAAAAAGCACTCTTTTAACACAACAGAGGATCTGAAAAGGACAACATATATAAAATAGATATTTCTTGGTCATCTGGAAATGTTTCAAATGATCTCAAAAGATTACCTGCGTCAGCTTGAGAGCTGTCATTTGTGTTATCTCCTTTCACTTGTGATGTACTCGAGTGCTTTAATTTCAAAATCCTCCACAAAATTCCTGACCGCACTTTAAGGGACTCTTACAAAATACTTACAAACACATAGAATAGTACAGACTCAAATATATGCCTCTAACATCCCAGTTATTTGTGACAAAGTCATTTGTCTGTCAGTCACCCAGGTTTTCATCCACATGGTAACAGTCTTAACAAAACCAATATGAATTATTTTTAAAGCAAAAGCGAGATGGATAAGAAATACACTATATTTCTTATCCTATATTCTATTTCTATATAAGAAATATACAAAATTCAGACAACATTTTTGAAACTACTGAAAAGAATTTGTGCATTTTTTAATCAAATTGTTTATATTTAAAAATTCAGAATTTCTAGATAAGACGAACCACCATCCCTTCAAAGGCTACTACTAGTAAACTAGTTGTAGTTCACTAGTGTATGATCTGCCTACTAAATGAATGCATTTCAAAATATGAACGCACACAAATTCCCCTCTGTATACTATGATTTCTAGTGAGTGGGAAACAAAAACATTAAAGTCTCAGCTGTAATTTAAACTATAAATTTAAGATTCAGCTACAGTATGAATTCATATTTTTCTTATTACATTCCATTCTCTTCATCATCTTGTTTTACTTTACAATCTTTATAAACATAAAAATAGGATTAAATTCATGTACATTTTTCTTTGTTTCCCAGCTGCTCAAACTGATCTGTTATTCTTAGAAAATTATTTAGTGACGAAGTCTGCATCCTGGTTTTTGGTGGTTTGATTTTTTGTTTGTTTGTTTGTTTTGTTTTGGGTTTCTGCTTTTTCCAGCCCCTCCTCATTGTCTCTAATGAAGATCTTCCATTTCTTTGTTGCTAACAGTCTTTCTCACTTCACTGTCTTTGGCAACCATTAAATCATTCTGTTTTTCACTGCCCTTGGGTTTCTTCTGAAAGACTTACCTGTCCATGCATTCTTTTATTGCCCTTTTACAAAAGTAATGTTGTTTGCTATTAAAAACGTTTGTTAACTTCACAAGAAAATACTACTTGGGCACAAAATAATGTCTCATGATCCTGGTATTTCCAATCACTTACCCACAACTTTCTGTCATATTTATGCAGCCCCATGACAGCCTTATAGTCTTTTCTGCAACGTATCAAATCTGTATGTCCCTAACAGGCAGTTCAAATAGGATAAAGCAGATTAACTGTGATTCAGCAATAAATTTTGACTTGCATCAAGCATTTCAATGTGATCTTCATCCAAATAAATTTTTGTGCATGTTTTGAAAAATATCACAGCTTTTTAGAGATAGGGCTAAACCTTAAAAAACAAATCTAAACTCCCAGATTAAGGCATATTTACAACAACCCCACACTTGGATATAAGAGAAATCTTCTAGTAGAACAATAATCCTTCAAAGGATTGCCGCTGTTAACTTCAGATGGTAAGTCCTTAGTGTCCAATGGGGTCCCAAACAGTATGCTTAATATGGAAATTGATTAACCAGGCATCAGTGGCGGCGATAGCTGCACTAACATTTCCTATCTGAAGTAGCTATGGGTAAGCATTTAGGATTTATTTACCTGTATTACCCACTGCCAAAACTTTTACCATCCAAAGGTCACAATAGTTTCCAACAAATGAAAGAATTTCTCTCTGCATGGTAGAGAATACACAGTCATCTTTCCCTTTTCTGCTATTTCTCCAACACCTTGAAAAATATCAAGAGAACTTTGTTGCAGATGGACTTTGAAAACCATGCAATATCTTGTTAGAAAACAAAAAGTCTTTTTACCAATGCTTTGACAGTTTAGATCATGTTTAACCAGCCTCCCATTTGTGTGGGAGTATCTCTAGATACTCCCTCTTCAGGCCCAGTCATTTGTGGCCCACACACCAAGAAAACACAGTCAAACAGCAATCAAAGCAAAATTTGTGAAGCAAATCTCAACTAAGAACTTGTGTGATCTTGCAAACAAGTTTGTTAAAAAATGAAGTTTAGCATTAGTTACATCAGAACTAGATTTCAAACTATTTTCACAGCCAGGAAGAACGTCACTATTTCCCACATACAATTAGAGTTGCACCCATGATGGCTTAAGCATATCATAAACGCAGCTTCTATTAGATCATCGAATATCTCAAGGAAAACAACAACCACCACCAACAGCTTTTGAACATGAAGCCTTGCTTCAGGGTTCAATAAGATCTTCACAGGACACCGCACCCAGAAAAAGTCAATAGTCCCATGTTAAAAACACATGACCTTCACTCTTAAGGACAGCACACAGAATAAGGATATAACATTCAAGTGCTGAACTGCTGAAGCTGTCATAATGTTAACTGGACATTTATATGTCTATATTTCTGCCAGCAGCCTATGTAATTCACAATTGGCTGTACCAGCCAGCTAATGGCAGGATATATCAGATCACAAAAAAACTATGTATAGAAAACATGATGTACTTAAATTCCCACAGCCCCTGTCATTAGGAAAAAAACAAAGAAAAAAAAAAAAAGGAAAACAATTTACTTATTTTAGTGCACAGAAAATTGATTTGCCTGGAAGGATTCAACAAAAACTTAAACTATGTTATGACTGAAGATGCAAATACACATTATTGTAAAAAGCAGTTCTAGCACTTTTAGTGAGAAAATTCCTGAGCCGCTTTGCTGCACCTCTTTGTGTTGACAGGCTTGGAAGATGTCTGTTGATGCCAAGCAGCGTGGCTTTAGGACTCACAAAAAGGTTAAGTCTGCAGTGAGTTTTTAGACATGTATGTTGGGGTCTTTTTAAATACCTTTTTATAAAACAAATCTGAGTATTTCAAATTGTTTGTGTATCACAGTAACGTAACATTTAATCAAAATACTGTAACCAAGCCCAGAGCATGAAATAGCAAAGTAGACAATCTGACAGACAGACAGACTTAAAAAGCTCCCCCTGAGGGTTTGAAGCTGTCTGCTACACTACAAGTAAAACAAATAACTGTATTAAAACACGAATTTATTACCCCAGTGAGGCAGTAAGTTGGTTGCTAACCACCAACTGCCACAGAATGCAAGGTCATATATCAAATAAGATTTTATAAAATTTCACTTTTCTTTAATCTGCCAAAACGGATAAGAAAACATACAAACACTGCCTACAATAAGGATAAAGGACAGGTGCTGCATCCTCTGGCTGATAAGAACAGCTTTGCTGATTAATATAGGAATAGTTAGCCTGTACAGATTCCCGCATTTTGGCTTCTATATCATATGCTCAGCTTTTCAGTCAATTCTTCATTTTTTGTCATCATTACTCATTTCTCCCTTTCTTCTGTACGCTTTAGGCAGCTAGTCCAAAGAGCTGGACTTTAGCAGGCACTGAAATGCTTTCATTTAAATATAGAAGGAGGGGAAAAAAAAAAAAAAAAGCACTTTAGTTAGGATTGGTATAGACCTGAAGCTAAAAACACTGAGCATTAAGGACTATTGTCACAGACCACTGTCTTTATTAATAAACCTACTAAATCACTGCTGCTTCAGAATCAGGTTATCATTTCAGACAATTTATTTCCAGTAGGAAACCAGGTTACAACTGAGAGATCTATGCCATGTAGCTATTACACAAATATATCACTTCCTTACTGATGTAGATTTGCAGTCACAAATATGAACAAAGCAGATATTAGTGAAGAAGCTACACTAACACCTGTATCTTCATTATTTCACCCGATGATAGCAGGGGTTATTAGCAGATTATCAGAGCACAGAGGAGCCATCTGGGTACTGCAGAGCCTTGGAGACCAACCTGAGAACGCAAGGACACATCAACCTTATCGTGACTGTGCAATCACGGATTGCTGACAACACACCATATCATGAGCAGGGCAGTGCCAACATAGAAACAGTTATCTGCAAGGACCTAGAGCTGATATAGTACTATATATATCATGGTCTACGATGGAGTGAAAACAATTTTCTAGACTGAAAACTAATGGATTTAAAAGAGGCGTGGTTTTTAAAGTTGCACTTAGAAACTACACATCTTCAAAATGCATCAACACAAAGCCACCAAAACAATAATTAAAATACAGAGATGAATTGCGCTTTTTTTTTTTTTTTTTTTAAGTTTGGGTTACATACAATATGTAAAGTGTAACTGCAGGTAAAAAGTGGGACTGTTTAGAGATCAAGTAATCTGCCACAACTGCAGCCAGCTCACAGTTTTGTCTTACAGTACCCTAATATCAAGTAAGAAGCACAATAAGCACAATTTTCACCATGTAGGGAATTTTTCTTCCCCCTTTTCAAACTTCAGGATTACAGATGAAATCCTGAAAAGATTTACTTTGTAGATTTGCAAAACAGAAAGCAAATGAAAGCTTTCCAAAGTTAATGTTTACCTCTCAATTATTAACACTTCCTTCTGATTCTGGAAGGCCTGAGATGATGATAGTGCTAACTTATTTTGACTACAGGGTGTCCTGATAAAAAGAGGGCTCATAAATACTGAGGTCAAATCACGAACAATGTATAGGTATCTGCCTGGCCAGCTTCTGACTTTGTGCACTAATACCAATCTAGTATCAGGCTGCCAAGGAATCCATCTACTTACGCTGCCTTTAGCCCCATTTTGGCAGTCTGTGCCAAGGTTCCTTAAATTAGCCAGCTTGGATACTTTAACATTATATATTTAACATATATAACTTTAACAATTATATACCATTATCACTAACTGCGTAAGTATGGTACAGATCTACCCTGAGATAAGAGTTTCTTACCACTAAGATCTTTTACAGAAGTTGATTGAAATAATCAATTGATTTCCTCTTCCAAGGAAAGATGTCACTGCCAGAACAAAGATGAATGGACAGAAGGTGGGGTGGGGTT